GGTGAGTGGGGTTGGTGCGTGGGGGCGGAAGCAACTCCAGGTGACACAGCAAGGGATGGTGACAAAGAAGTAGATTCCCTAGACTAGAAGGGGCAGTGAGAGGTAGGCTGCTAGCTACCTACAGAAGAGATGGGTGATCGACGAGAAGATCAAGTCTGAGGTTCCCTGCCTCAGACCCCCTACTATTTATACAAATACAACGGTGCACAGACCAGGTACCTATTTGTCCCTGCTTGGTCAGAGTCTGCTGACTCATGTCCTGCCTCCTGACCTGTCACATGGTGTCCTCGTGACTAATACCTGAGTCATGCTAAGTCCGGGCTTGCTCCGATGAGTAAGCGCCCCTGCTGACGCATGAGTCACCTGCCAGTGAGTGAGGATGGGCGCTCCTGGACCCCACAAGGTCCTGGGTTCGATCCTGGCTCCTCCACTTTCCGATACGAGTTGCCCGTGGTCAAGGTGGGCGTCTGTCCTGGTTCACATGACCCCTAGGTCACGTGGCCCGAGAAAACTGTGACAAGATCTCATGCATACCTCATGGGCAAGCCTACCTTTCGTGCTCTCGAATTATTGGGTCATGGCATGCGTGGCTACGTGGCCTACGAGTGCGAGACGGGTCGTTTCGTGTGGCTCAAGGACATGTGGCGCGCGTCCTACATGCTCACCAAGACCGAAGGCGAAGTTCTTTGGAAGCTCAACGCTGCCGGGGTGTCTCATGTGCCTACTCTCGTCTGCGACGGCAACGTGCACGATCAAGCTACGATCACTGCGTACTGGTGGGAGCGCATACAGGCTCGTTCTGACACTCTCTATCGATCGACGCCAGTCCGTTCTTCATAGTCTGGCAGCAAGAAGCGAAAGAGGTGCCTGCCTAATGCTGCGCATACCGGCTCGACACTACAGCGCAGCGAACACATGGCTCTCACAATCGCTCTTCCGGATGGGATCCTCCGACAACATAGACACCATCGCATTGTTGTGAAGAAGGTGTGTATGCCACTGAAGAAGTTTCGATATGGCCGCCAGCTTGTCACTGTTGTCTATGACTGCCTGCATGGTGAGTTCTGACGTATAGTTTGTCTGTATTCGCTCTGATCACTATATTTGCAGCACACTACGAAGCAGCTACAAACCCAGAGACTCGCCTTCTTCACTGCGACGTTAGCGGGGGAAATATTCTGATATGCCCACAGATCATACGGGTTCGGGAAGGGGAAACCCCTATCGTCATCTGGAGAGGTGTCCTGACTGACTGGGAGCTCTCTAGACCAGTGGACTCCCGTGAGGCAGCGTTGAGAGCTAAAGCTACCCAGGCGGACCGTGTAGTACGTTCGTTGTGTGTAGTGCGCTTTAATCGACTAACGGCAGAGTAGCCTACAACGAGGTATGTAAACCTCTGGGATATCGGGCCAGGGAGGTATGAGACCTCCCAACCACGCATATGATTGGCTGTCAGCCTAGGACATCAATACGGGTGCATCAAATTTTGATAGCTGGACCGGTGTACGTACTCGAGGCAACTTCAAGGAGCTCGAATAAAAACCATACTCCCTCTGAGGAGGTCACAGTAATTGACGAGGCAGCATTTGTCCAACATGTGAAGAGTGTTGTGCAGGCGTGGCGGGTGAGGAGGGTGGGGGACGTGCAACGCAAAAGACCACCGACGCTGTCACCACGGGCGCATCAGCGCGCTAGTTTTGATGATCAAAGTTCTCAATCAGCATTGTGGCGTTTGATGCCAGATTTAGGGTTTGCGTGAAGAGGACCCGCCATTTGTGCTCCCTCCCCTCCCTCGCTGCGCTCGGGGGGTCCCCCGAGCCGGGAGCACTCAGGCGGGCACTCTAAAGCCTCGTTCGCGCGATAAATACAGACGGCCTCCCCTTTGGGGGAGGAGGAGGTGTGAATAGCGCCTAACCCAAACCCGAACCCTAACCGAACCCTAACCGACACTCTAACCGACGCGTATCACTAAGACCGCGTGGGTTGGGAGGTTTGATACCTCTCTGGCCCGATATCCCAGAGGTTTGCATACCTCGTTGTAGTCTCTACAACGGCAAGGCTTGATCAGGGAACATATCAGTTCATGTCCGTCAACCTACTCAATCACGACGCCAAACCCATAGAGATCTCCGACGAGCTGGAATCTTTCTTCCACGTCCTTGTCTACTACGCCGTGCGCCACCTCCGCTCGAACTGTCCCCACATTCCCTCGTGGATAGACAACTACTTCCACAGGTACGCAGGCCCCGAGCATATGCTCACGTGCAGGCAGAAGTCGTACGCTGTCGAGGTAGCCGGAACGCTTGAAATCCGATCCCCGATGGGGCCGCTTGTCTTCCGTAGCCCTATGGATGGCATCCTCGCTCCCATTCTAGAGTGTCTGCGGGCCCATTACAAGGTCATGGCGCATGAGACTTCCAAAGCTGCGCTTCCACCACCCCGTCCTGAAACTCTGCTGCAACCATCCTCGTGTGACGCTATGTTTTTGATCCGCAATTACCACAACGCCGACCTTAATCCCGAGAAGGCGGCACAGTGGAGAGCTCAGTTGCGCGCGCGCCGTGTCAAGAGAGGCCCCACTCCCGAGGAACGCGAGCTCGCAAAGAAGGTCGCTGACCATAAATTCATGCTCGGCCACCTGGCGATAACTCTGGGGGATCCATTGTGGCGAGGCGACGACCGCATACCCACAACCCAGAACCCCGAGGGTTCGTCCTTCAGTGCTAACGGGCAGCCCTCTGAAGACGCATCGCCGAGGAGCACTAAGCGTCAGCGAGTATCCGAACACGACCGCGAAATGTCGTTACCGGCTCGCCTGCATCCGTCGGCTTCGCGAACGCGTGCTCGCGCCCGCACTCGTCCTCTCCGTAGGCGAAGGTAGTCTCGCTTTCTGACCTACGGACATCGCTGCTTAGTCGGTCTCCGGACGTGTCGCCCCTCCCTGTTCATCCCACGCAATTGCTCGCGTCCCTCTTCCACCTGTCGTTTCCACCTCATCGCCACCACTGCTTGCACCACTGTCATTTGCCCGACACCTCATCGCTTAGTCAAATCCCCTATCTTACTTTGTGTTCAGCAACCCACGTCATGTATCTTATATGATGGCATTTAACTATTTAGGGCCTGTTCGGCAACGCAGTTAATCGATATTTTGTCGCGTGCAGTAACCTTCGTGATTTTGTAGGGAGGTAGAGATACTTCGGCCCATACTAGCGCCCTAGGCCGTTGGCACAAGACAGTTGACGGATACCTCCCCGCGGTACAAGCTGTCCACACGGCTCGCATAGAACACAGTGGACATGATACCACGGCATCTGTAGCCATTCTGACTCTTGCTACTGCCATCATGTCCGAGTATCTGCGGTAGCCTTCTTCAATCCTCGAAGGATGAGGTCCTCAGAGGTGTGATCCCATTCAGCACGAGTCCCAGTCATGTCATAGAAGGCCATAGGCACAGGTCAAGCATGAGAAATAGCAGAGGGCTGAGGAGTTGCGACGCAATCAAATAACAGCCGCCCAGAGTTACTGGGGTTCCCGAACGCCCGAACTCGAGTTTGCCAAGGGAAAATTCATTACCATATATAGGCACAAAATCCTGTATCTCTAACTCTAACTCCGTTGCCGCACAGGCCCTAAGGTGATGGGGTGTCGCCAGTATGGAAATTTGTATGGAAATTTGCAACGTGAACGACCTAGTCAAAAATACCAAGGCTACCTTCGAGCACGAAGAGGGTGGGTGCGGGTGCGGATCCGCGTACGTCGAGTAGACTGATGCAGACGAGCGGGCAATGACACATTGCGCTCGGGTTCTGACATTCGCTGCCGCTTAGCACCTCTTGGCGATACGTCTTCGGAGGGCGGCTCGCTGACACTGGCCGACGAAGGTTCAGAGTCCTTGGTCGTGGGTATGCGGTCGTTGCCTTTCCAATACGAATGGTTGAGTGCGCTGGCAAGGCGACCGAGTATATACTTGTGATCCACAACCGTCTCCGCCAGATCCCGATCCTCAGGCGTGGGGGCAAACTCGTCGACAGGTTCGGCTGTTAAAGAAGCTTTCCAACCTGCGAGCTGCTCGGGGTCATACTCGTCGTCGTCGTCGTCGATGTCGATGTCGATGTCTGGGAAGAGCCACAGAGGTGGCGATGGCGGAGGAGTCTTTGGTCGATGCGCAGCCTTTGCGACTTCGTACGCCATGACTTTGTAATGCGCTCTCAAGCTCTTGAGGAAAAAATCAAAGACGCTGTCCATGGGACTGGAGAAGAGCAGGGGCCCTTCCCACGAGCAATTCTCGAGTCGGCCGGTGCATTCCATGGTCACCGACTTCTCGCCACATGTGAACATGCGCTTGGGACCTTCATAGCTGTGGAAGAAGTTGTCGATCCAGGAGGTGATGTTCGTACAGTTTGAGCGGAGATTGCGGACAGCGTAATAGACGAGGACGTGGAAGAATGACTCGAGCTCGTCCGCGACCGTTACGGGCTTGGTCATATGGGTGATTAAGTTGACCGACATGAACGGATACGTCCCCTGGGAACGCGTCGCCGTCAGCTCACCGAAGCGTGATCAGACGGATCGGTAACGCACCATGCGATCGCCTTGGATCACTTGAGAAGCCGTTCCTTGACTGTCCACCGGTTTCGCCAGCTCCCAATCGGTCAAGATACCTGTCCAAATGAGCAGAGGTTTATTTCCCTCCTGATCTCGCTTGATCTTGGGGTAGATGAGAATGTTCCCGCCACTAATGTCGCAGTGAAGAATACGTGTCTCAGGGTTTGTCGCCGCCTGATGATGCGCTGCAGAGAACACATTTAGCGCAGATTGCATGCGGAGACGACGTCGTAGCTCACCTACTACGCAGTCGGAGACGACCGCGAGTAGCTGTCTGCCATATTGGAAGTGCTTCAGTGGCATGCACACTTCCTGAACGACGATTCGATAATGCTTATGTTGCCCAAGGGGACAATCGGAAGCAATAGGCTCGCGGCGACGTCGCTTGCGGTGCCGGGATGTGGTGTTGGCATCTGGAGGGTCCGCCATCGTCTTTCGCTTTCCACCGCAAGGTGACGCGGCGCCGGCCAGTGCAGCGGGAGAGGACGAAGGGGGCGAGGGAGGACCGGACGCAGGTGATGCTGAGGAGTGAGCATGTATGCGTTGCCACCAGTCGGCCGTAATGGTAATTTGGTCACGGACGTCGCCCTCGCAAATGAGAGTAGGCACACGCTGCACGCCGGCAGCGTTGAGCTTTCTAAGGATCTGGCCTTCGGTCTCGGCGATCTTGCACGACGCGCGCCACACGTCCTTGAGCCAAACGAAGCGACCTGTCTCGCAGTCGTAGGCGACGTAACCACGCGTACCACGGCCCGTGACATCGGCAGCGAGGAACGTGGGCTTTCCTACGAGGTAGCTGCGCGTCCTATCTCCATCGCTGACCTGCAGCCTGAAGCGTGGCCAGTCTGCAGCGAGCGACGTCCTGAACAAGGTGCGGACATACGCGAACACTGGGGGTAGTACGTCAAGCTCGCTCTCTCTAAGCCGACGTTCCGCATAGTCCAGGTCAGTTTCGGCCTTGAGGCCGGCGAAGTCCATTCGCGCGAAGTCGATGTCGCCAGAACGGATGCGAGTGGCACTAGGATCGAAGCCGAGCGCGTCGACATCCAGTTGGCCAATGCGCCAGAGCATGTCGCAGAGAAGATGCGGATGCTCGTAGTAGTCGGTATTGGGTGTCGTGATCACGCCAGCACGATCCCAGCGCAGCACCCGGAACCTTCGGCCGATGATGAAGAGCATGAAGAGGAAGACGCGTTGTTGTGCGGCGAAGAGGATCTCTGCAACGGCGGAGATACGGTCAAAGGCCTGCTTGCGGGATCTGATTAGCGTGCCGTATTCGTCTATATATTCAGCGTCGTCGAAAGGATCGACGCCTCGGCGGTAAGGCTGAACGTGGATGGGAACGGTTTGGTCGACCCAGAGAGGATGTCCTCCTGCGGATACAGAACGAGTTGGGAAGAATGCTGCGAAAGGTTCCCGCACAACCTTGTCTGAGATAGAGCTGTGATATGGGTCGTGAGCCAAAATCTTCGAGCCAGGCACGAGGCCGTAGTCGTTTACTGCAGCGACCTAGTCCAGCAATGAGCCCAGCCTCCGGAATGGATGAATGAAGGAAACTCACGATCAGTTCTGAAATATCGCTCCCTTCCATCTCATTTGCGGTGTGTAATGCGAAGAATGGGTTAGATCCTGCAGGGAGACCAGGAAAATCGCCCGGGTGCGAGAGAAACTCTTGGCAGAATTCCTCGGTGGTTAGATGAACAGCTGAGGTCGCCATGACGAGTCTAGAGACAAATATACAGACGAGGGCAGGGAGTAGCTGCTATAGCTGTCTTGGAGAAGGGTGTGCTCGTGGTTGCAGATGAACAAGCGATGACCAAAGCACGGAATCCAACTAGCGGCCCCGTGTCACTTACCATGTTGGGACGATGTGGGAGGTGGGCGCTATCACCATACTGTGGGTTTTTCCTCTGCAACATCTCAGCGGAGGCGAGCTATATTAGAGTCAGAGCAAACGAAAGAGTGCATCCTAGCGAGGAGCATGTATATCAGCATTCGGGGTCTCCTCGATAAAACGGATGGCAGTGGCCACCTACAGGGCTCTCATATAGGCGAGCATCCAGCAGATATGGGCACACTAGATAGCATATTGAACCAACCTTCAACCTGCTCTTCTCGTCCGATAAAGTATCACCTAATAGGCGTCGGTCAACATCCAAGGTTGTCGTCGCCGTCAACGACGGCGACGAGGGTCGGGTCGGGTCGAATCGGCACCTCCACGTGACATCTTCGGGGCACGAGACGCCCGCCTCTTCGCTGCCGCCGTTGCTGTCCGTCGTCGCTCGCAAACTCAATTTCTCTTGTGCTCGGTGGTGCATATGTGCACACTTTGTCCTCGTCTTGGCTGTAGCCACTTGCTCTGCTCGCCTTATCACCTGCCGTACATGCCCCAGGATCAGCTTGGTACATGTCTCTCAACGTCGTGCGCTCGCTGACCGCCCGCTCGCCTGCTCTCGTCCTGTCGTACTACTGCTGCTATCGCTCGTGACTGAAAGCCGAGGCACGGACTTCTCGCAGGACCTTTCCATCGTCTGGAAGTTCTTCTCGCCTTGTTTGACGTCTTTCCTTAGCGTCTTCTCCTAGACGGGCAGCCAGATTGGCAGGTACGTCGGTGACGTATTTCTGTATATCATCCTGTTTGCGATCATGGCGCATGTCGGACGACGTCTCCATTGGTCAATTGTGCGTGCCGTACTCGTGTTTCCTATCAACTGCTCTCTCGCCGGATCGCCCGTGACAAGCGGCCCACACGCGTCGTACCTCTCGCTGCGGAGACATGATCTGCCGATCGTTCTCACTAAAGGCCCTACATGTCCTGTGAGTGTGCTCGCCTCATCTGTACCTCCACGATCCCATATCCTTCGTGAACGTTTGCGATATGCGTCTGCGTAGAGTCGTGTGGAACGGATCAGCACATCCGAGGGAGGCTGGTAAACATCGAGTGAGCAGCAACCTTTCGCTGCTGCACCCTCGGCGAAGATAAGCTAGAGTGAATTGATACTTCCGCGTGCTCTTTGTGGCTATCCTACGTGGGGACTGAACTCGTGCTTGACGAATACCCCTTCGCACTCCGTAAGCGTCGATTCGATCATACTGCGTGGTGCCCAGATGTACAGAATGTTTCGAGACTCAGTCCGGATATACAATAACATACAATGACTCGTTGAATTATCCGTTAAGCCCTCAAAGTTGCTCATGCAGCGCCGGCAATGTCGTTTGGGGGCTCGTCCAAACCCACAGCCGCGTCGAACATGGTCTTGAACGCCCCCAAACCCGCCTCCGCCACTCCCGTCTGTTGAGCCGCAGCGGCCTCTGGGTTGACGAGGTATTGCACTGCCGTGCTACCGACTAACGTCAGCGATACGGAACACCAAGCGAGGTGAAAAAAGTACTTTACCCCGACGGCTCGTGTGCGGCAACGGACGAGAGGCTTGCAGGTGGGACGTGCTCGCGCACCGCGCTCGCGATGGCGGCAGAGAGGTCCGACGACGGCATGCCCAGCGCCGCGGCCAGCTCCTGGATCTTGTCCTCCACCGATGGGTTCCCCGTCGAACCCTGTGAGGCGTACGCTCCGTTTGTCGAGCTTGCGCTGGGTGTTGCGCTAGCCCCGGAGTTGTTCAGGGTCTGTGCGGCGCCTGGGGGTCGGTGACCGAGGGCGAGGTTCCACCAGCCGCCGTACTCGGCCTTCCACTGGAGCATGCGCCAGCCGTAGAAGGCCATGAGGAGGGCGGCGAAGAGGGCGAGGTAGTAGTTGAAGCGGTGAAGGGGCATTCGAGAGAAGGGGAGTGGAACGTCGTCGCGCACGGCCTTGCGCTCTCGGGGAGGCGGGAGGTCGGAAGGCGAGTTGACAACGGACTTCTTGTCGTCAGTGAAGTTGTCGGGCATCGTAGTGAAGTTGATGAGGGGAGTTGGAGGTAATGCAGGGGTTGCGAGTCGTGATCTGTGGTGGAGGAGGCGACGAGCCGTGTTTTGTAGGTTTGCTCGCTCGAGCGCCTAACTTGGCAGGTTCCACTCGACAGCCATGACATCATCTCGAGTGAGATCTACGTGGCCGATATGCGAAAGCCAGCGACGGGAGTTTCCGAAGGGTTTTCAGCTGGGACAACCGTCTGCGCATTTCTCCATTGCCACCATATCGCTCCCAGTCCATTAGCTGCCACGAAATCGTAGCCATTGCGGAGACAAAATAACTACCGTTCTCGTCGCAGGTACGTTATCGCCCGCCCCTTTTCCTACTTCTTGCCACTACACTATGTGGACTTCGCCGTTCGAACTCATTTGACTAGTGTCCTGCCTCGGCTGAAGCTT